AGTCAAATTTAAGAAACAACCCACTGTTAGAAAGCTGAATGGCTACGCTTTAAAATGAATGTAAACTTTAACGTTTTCGTCTATTATTTGTTTAGCAATTTACATTTCAGTCGAGGATTGCGCTTTTTTTGATACACCCTGTATATTGTGGGAAGGGCATTGCAGTTCTCCACCTTCCGTTGGCAGAAATGGTTTCCTGTATTGTGCTTGAGATAGACTCTTTGCCATAGCAGAGGAACTGGCGCATTAGGGGAGCTATAGCCCCATGCAAAAAGTCTTCAATTTGGTTTTGAAAACTATAAACCAACGCTAGGCAGATAAAAATGCGTCCTCCACATGCCAATGAGCACCCGCTTAAACAGTATTCCTTTCTTTCCATTTCAGGCAGAACAACAAAAACTTGCAGCAATTGTTACGGCAGAAGGCGACGCCCGAGGTGCATCATTGATTGCAAAATCATTTAAAGAGGCTGGTGAAGGTTTGATCGAACTTCGAAGAATAGAAGCGGCCGAAGAGATAGCAGATAGAATCAGTAATGCTCCTAACGTAGCATATTTACCTAATGGCAGTAATATGTTGTTAAATCTTCCTGCACCATAAGAACATTGCACTGAGACATTGCTTCAAGGACTAAATATATATAACATATTGTGATCTGTTCAATATAAATTGTGCTTGTAGAAAAATAACGTTGAAAGATATATGCTGAAGAAATGCAACATCATTGTGGGCAAATAAAAACTATAAAATTAAATAACAGTGGTCCGTGTAAAAGTTTAATTTGGCTTCATTTTGGTTGCCTATTAAGTATATATTTAATAGTCGTATTATTTCTTATTATTTATATCATTGCATATCGTTGTCAGAATTAAAAAGCTTTCACACGGCTATTGTCTTCCAGCAAAGCCCTTTCGGGAAAGTACTCAAAACCAGACATAGTACTATAATGCGGTGTCCTGAAAAATGCGCAAAACAGTACGTTTGCGGCTTAATTAAATAAGTGCATCGCAAGAAGTTCTATTATGCTACAGCCACCACTTTTGTCCTACCAAATAAAATTTGAACTCTTACTTACTGTTATTTCTATCTAGAAGGAGCTTTGCTGAATACGTGGTTTATAACCATTCTTAAGACGGACGAAATGTCTACTCAAATTAGTATCTGGCATTAAGAGAATACAAACCAGAAAATACAATTAATTTTATATAATGTACTTCTATATTAATCCTTATCTCACTGATTTTCTGTTTTTGCTGATATATCTTTATCTGCAGAGGACAGTTCTTGTCTGACTTGCTGATTCTCACCCTCTGTTTTGACATCAGTTTCTTTCTGAGGTAAAACATCTGAGGAATTTTCTGTTGTTTCTCGTGGGGAAATTATATTCGGAGAAATTTCTGTGTCGCTGGGCGTATCTCCACACTCTACTAAACCATCTTGAAGATTAGTTGTATCATTTTCAAGACTTGTAGGTGTCTCTGTTGCGAGTATTTCCACATTCCCAGCGAGAGTCTCTTCTGGATTACCTTGTATATTTTCCTCAGGCTTCACAGAAACATCGCCCTTTTGATCATTAATAACATCATCATCATCTTTAATTAACCCTTCTTGTATTTCCTGTAATCCTGGAATAAGGGACGCGTTTTCACGTCCCGCAGTTCCGCGATCCGTGTTGTCACAATCCGCGTCTCTGCTTTTCGCAACCTCCTCTTCGGGTTCTTCGGTAATTTCTTTATATTTAGTTTCGCCCATATCAGATCCTTTTGAAGAACTGGATTCTTTACCAGAACTTTCGGCCATTGAAATTTTCAAATTTGCATCCTGGAAACCGCCAGGAACCATGACTTCTTCGTTAATTTCCACTGGCAAAACATCATGAGGCAGACTTTTTGTACAAATTTCTAAGAAATTATTCAAAGTGTTTCCTGATTCAACATTTTCACAATTTCCTTCAACGCGGCTCGGGATTTTTTCAGAGTTTTGATTACTTTTATGGGAAGTGCCATCAGATTTCTCAGAATCCATCTCACATTTCGGAGGGATGGAATCAGTTTTCCCAGAATTCGATTCAGACTGTTCCAGAGAAGCCTGCTCAGAGCCAAGAATACTGGATTCGTCTTTCTTACCTTCTTGCTTGGTTTCATTATTTCCAGAAATTTCTCCTTGATTTTGAGAAATGGGAGGACGTGCAGGTATGGCAGGTTTCATATATTCAGCTTCGTCATCAGATGAAAGCGAGTAGGTATCCGATGAAGATAGAGAATCACTGCTATCTCCTTCAACAGTATTGCCACTATTCTCTGAAATTTTGAAAGACAACTGTATTAGTATACGGTTTAATCTAAAAGTGCGGGGTGTTTATCATTCAAACGTAACGTTGTCGAAAGCTTGCACTTGGCGGTCTCTATTATCAGACACAGCTACAGTAAGGGCTAGTTTTTGGTGAGGAAAACCGAAATACCCAGTGGAAAACGGGAGAAAAAGCCTTGAATCACCAACGTAAACTATATCTCTACGCACATGCGTTTTAAACTGCACCAAGTATGTGCACAGCTGTCACTCAAAAAACGGCGGCGCGAAGATGAATTTTATCTTCGAGTGATGAAAACAATATTTTACGAACGAGCGCAGCGCGTGAGTAAAACATTGTTTTTAACACGAGAAGATAAAAGTCATATCTTCAAGCCACCGTGTAATGTTCTGCTTATTATATAGTCCCAAGCAAAAAATTGTGAAATTTCACGCTCAAAAGCAAATTGGAAAAAGTCACGTGATCGATATCTTCACTATTAATGAAGATATGGAAAATATCTCACTGTGTATTTTTCAGTATCTCACTCTCTACTAATATATAATATTTAAGACCACACAAGGAACGGTTGCAAAACATGCAACACTAGGTCCTCTTGCAAGGAATCAAACCCTGCCGAGCTGTAACCACAAGTTCATTCAAGTCGGACAGAACGTCCGGTGATTTCCTCTTCACGTCGGAAAATGTCACGAATGGGTCGGACAGTATCGTTTTCCCAGTGCCAGTGTAGATGGTCAACGACTCGAAATAGTTATAGTGCAGATTATTCTTTTTGGAAATAGGAAAAACAGGAATTTTTTGTACAAGTCGATTACATGTATAGTGAGGACGCAGCCTAAAATTAATGCACCTTGCATGTAATATAATCTAGAACAAAACTCACCTATTATAAGAAACTGTTCACCACAATGCAAAATTCCTTTGTAACAAAACTCATACTGTTCCTAAATATAAAAACGATAATTATCATTTTTTAACATACAGCTGTGTGTGTTCAGATACAGAAGGTTACTTTTCACGCAAATCCTACGTCATCCTAATCTACCCTGTTGCTACCTCAGTTTGATTATTGCTCCCTTGTTTAGAGCAATTGTTCTGAAACTTTAAAATTAAAGCTACAAAAACTCCAAAACAGAGCATGCAGAAAGAATAATCACATGTGATAACTACGACACTGGGCAAAACAAATATTAGGAAAGTTATAGGTTGGACATTCCAGGTACAAGACGCGAAAATAATAGAGGTTTCGAGCAATGATAAAACTGATAATCTCACATGTGAAAATTATCGCTTCTCTGTAAAAATTATCGCTTTTCAAACACTGTCCGTTATATAATAAACAAAATCTCATGTTGAACATGATATCTCACTCGTTCGCTGCGCTCACTATTGAGATAACATGTTCAACACTTGAAATAAATCTGGTATTTCCGCGCACCCATGTATTATTCTCTATGTAATCTTTTTGGAAAGTGTAATAAAATTACAGTTATCGAACTCTAACCACAAGTTTTTCTAGATATATAGTGTGTGTATGATGCCAGTACTACATGGTATAAGTAAATACCAAGACTATGGGAATCTACCGCGATACAACGCAGAGTTTGTTAGAGCGAGCAGAGGGCCTACAGTCGCAGATGTTCCTGGTTAGGTCTGATATACTAATGCAAATTCAGAGAAATAACAAATTCTATAAAAAGTCGTTTAAGTTATAAGGAAACAAAATTCTAAAATCAGCAACTAAATGATACAACGTAATTTAATATGATCTTATTTTGTGGATTTGTAGATCTGTAAATATTTTCACAGCCGTAATAAAATCAATATTGACACTTTTTCCGCAGTGGCGTAACGTTATATCAGGGGGCCCCCCGGTTCAAAATTTTCGAAGGCCCCCTAGTAGAAGTGCCAAAGGCACGAGTCGAGCGCTGTATATGCACAAGTTTTCTAGGGGGTCCAGGGAATGCTCATCCGGAAAATTTTTGAATCTACACTCTCTGAAATGCCATTTCCTGGACTTTGGGGAGAGATTTTACAGAATTCTGATGGTCATAAAACGACATTGTAACATATCAGAGGCCCTGGCCAATGTTTTTGCTCTATCGCCTAAGCCTGGGGGCCCCCATTTGGGTTGGGGGCCCCCGGGTTCTCCCGGTCTGAGCCCATAGTAGTTACGCCACTGTTTTTCCGACCACCCAATTCCTCGGGTGAGATGCCTGCGGAGAAGGCTAGGTTACCGCGTGATTGAAAATAAATTTAAATAAAGTGAATGAACCTTTTTCTGAACCATATATTTTCTTTTCTCTCGCAGTTTCTTCACCAGTTCCTGTACATCCACTGAAAATGATCAAGAAAATAAGCCATCAGATTACAATACAAAGTAAGGAACTAAGACTGACCGATTGTGCCACAATCGGAAATTACCGATTATCGGTTATTCATGCCACAATCTACCCAATAGCGATTTTATAATGACGTCATAATGTCAGACGTCGTAAAGGTGACGTTATTTCCTTTCGATTTTTAACGATAATTCCCAACGTGACATGTTACTGCAACCCAGTGAGCTCTATATATACCCGGACCAAGACCTTCAGTCACTTGGTCTATGAGAAAAGTGAAGTCAAGACGGCGGCCATTCATGTCCAATAGCCCTGAAGGTGGCAAACAGTTTTTATACCATTTTCCCCTGCTAAATGCAGTTGTTTCCAACGGACCGTATCGCTAAACAAATTTTCAATCATAAAATCATAATATTAGTCTTTAAATCGTCAAAATTTAAGTAAAATTTTTTGACATATTGAAGAGCTATAGATGTATAAGATGTCAGTTCCAGTTAAGACCGAATTTTGGTGGAAAATAGTGGGGGAGGTGGAAAAAATTTAGGGGCGGTGCAGCGGTCTAGCTCACGACCCCCATGGAAAGTAATGGCTTAGAACGGGCCAAAGTCAACGACGTGACGTATGCATGCAATGTACATATGTATCAGTGACAGTGTATTAATGAATTATGACTGTACAACTCATCCAATTTTGCCCTTCGATTACAATTACTACAAAGTTTCTTTCAAAACATTGCATTGAAAGGGTACTTGACACATGACACGCTTCAGCGTATGAAAGCGTAATTTTTGAGGTGCGTATTTTCTCAACAATCGCTTTTACACAATCACAGGGCAGGAAAAAAAATTCTTCCTGGGAGCACAACTGGAGACAAAAATTTCTTGCAGACCATGCAACGAAGAATTTTTGTGCTAAATCTATTCTGCATGTGTGTAAACATGTACTGGTTCTAGTTGACCATCGTTTTAAATTCAAGGAATAATGTCTGTCAACCATATGTTGTTGCGCCCATAGTGGGACGTGGGTGTTAAGGTTTCCTTCAAATTTTCAATAGCAATGCGCAAATCTTCATTCAAACGAATTTCCTGCAGCTGTTTAACATTTCCTGCGAGCAGCGCTCGCCTACTTTTCCCACTCCTACACAATCGGAAATACAGATCATTCTTTCGATTTTGATTGTCTTATCGACAAGGCAATAATTGGCCCATTACCAATTATCGGCCAATCACTATCGAATACATCATTTAGGAATAGTAACACGATGGAGAAATGTCAAACAAGACTGGGCTGGTGCAGTCCTCGTAATTTGGGGGCAATTTAGGACCAAATAATGTCATTGTATTTGTGTTCCCCGGTAAAAAATCTAAGGCGAATTATGCAGAGGCAAAAATAGCTTAATTACGAGCACTGTTTGTGTCCTAGCTCCCTTAAAGATCAAGGAGCTTAAGATCCAAAACGGCACCGTCACGACGTTAAGAAAAGAAATGAATAATTAAAATCCCACGGGAAATTTATACGTCGTCCACGGTTTGTTTACAACCGGTAAACCAGAGCTTTTACATCCTGTGTACAGTATTGTACATAGAGGGGGAGGGGGGAGTGGAGGGGATGTAATACCCTCCATTCATCACAGATTTTGCAAATGTCTGCTAGACTCGGCACATTGTTTTCTGATTTATCGAGAAGATTGTTATCGTGGCTCGGAATAAAAAAGTTAAAAAGTAATAGTTAAAGCAAAAATGTTACAAAATGTACGAAAAATGTTAACAAACACGATATGTCGGTTACAATTTTCGTATTTGGGAAAAATTACGATGTGTCGGGAAAAATTTTTGTATTTTCGGAAAAATTATGATATGTCCGGGCAAATAATTTTTCATGTCATTATTTTTCCTAGTATACAAATGTATATTAGGAAAAATAATGACATGTCGGGAAAAATTTTAGTATGTCCGGAAAAAAATTTACGATTTCCCCCCTCCCGCTCGCCAACATTTTTTGGAAAAGAAATATTAATTAGCGGTTGTAGTCACTCGGCAAAATTCACTCTTACACTCCCCACAAAAAACTAAAAAATTGCGTCGCGTTGTCGAATCGTGTCCGGTGTGTCTGGACCTTTAAGGTCTCTATTACGCACTCGGCTACGCCCTGAACAGTGACGAAAATCGGCGAGCATCTCCACTACAAGATCTGGCTAGATTCATCACTAAGAAAAAGGATACCGGACGAATTTCATAAAGCTTAAGAAAAACAAACAGTCCCACGGCATAAAGCTTAAGAAAAACAAATAGACACAAGTCACATACTTATTCCATTTCCAGAATACATTTCTCTCATGGCGGAGTACATAACAATGAAAGCTCCAGTACGACCAACGCCAGCACTACACGAAATTAAATAATGCCAGTATTAATATTCAGACGGACTTTCGCCTCCTTCATTCCGCCCACCTTTTGGGTGTTTCGCGGCGGGTTGACCGTCTGCTCACGCAGGCTATTCACAGGCCTCGCCTCGGACGGGAAGAACTGCATGCAATTAAAATCAGGACCAGTCCAGGACTTTGGGACTTCAAATTTTGAAATAAACACACACAAACCTGCAGTGAAGTAAGATTGGTTTCTCAACATCAGGATCAATGGTTTGGTGACGGATGTACATATGACCCATAAAGGTGAAGAAATCTGACGGGCTGCTTGGAACACCACTATAGAGAAGAGATAATGAAGGTCACGCAAAAGAGATATTACAGTAGCAAAAGGGCGCAGTGGGGGTAAAATGTTGGCTAATTTTTGCCAATTGAGCAATAAATCTTATTGAACCTACAGCAGTTGTTGGTGCGTCCAGTAAATAGAGGATATTAGACAGTTGCGAAGAGATATGGATTTTATGTTCGAGTGGCAAAAACAATATCTCACGAGTGAGATATTGTTTTTGACACGAGAACATAAATCCATATCTTCTCGCAACCGTTTAATGTTCTGTTTATTATATGGACTTATTCAGAGTGACAAAAATACACACAAAGAGGACATGTAAATAAGCACGCGTGTGAAAAAGCGATATTTTTTAAAATTATAGTGCAAACATAAAACTAGAGCAAATTTCACTTATCTCAAGATGTCTTTTAAATGTTTTCGTTTTATTTCCAACGTTAATTTCGTTTTAAATACGAACCAAAGACCATTTGTATTTTCAAAACAACAACAATGAAAATGGCGGGAAATAGTTCAAAACTTCGTATGTCACTAGCAGGGGTGAAATACGGAAAATACTACGCGCACCTGGCCCCGGATGTAGTGACGTATGAGTTCTACGAGTGTTTTAGTTTCCAGTAAAACACCATTGTCCATATAATAAATATATATATATATATATATATATATATATATATATATATATATATATATATAGAAAAGGTTTCAATGTGCAACCAAAAGAGACATTTATAACGTAAATAAAATAAAAGCCACTCAAATTTTGCACAAACGTTTTCGCTTTAATGTTAGCTCCTCAGGTGCATATTTACAATGAGTGGAATTTAGTTTATCTATTATCTACGTTCTATGATATCCTATTATAATAGCTATGTTAGGAATGCATATATTTACATGGTGTGAAGTCACCCGTTAAAAACATTCTATTGATCTAAATGTGAGCATAAACTTAATGGTTTTTTTAATTAGCGTTCAGATCCGGATTCAGTATATTGATAAGTTCTTTTTCTTTCATCTCCCTAAAAAGTCTGTCCGTGTTAATGCATTGATATACAGGGTGTCTCAAAAAAAACCAAAAACATTGAAATTGACGTATTGTTCGATATTCAATGCCCTAGCACTAAGTTAATCCCACGAGTGCATAAAAGATTGACATAACTGCTATAATGAATGGTAATACTCAGCGTAAACTTGTTATGTCAGGCATAAAGTACTAAACCCACAAATGCATATTACGCATATTACAATTTACGAAGCATTTTTAAATTCCCATGAGCAAACAAACGTTCACTTTACAAAGATATTTTAATTTTTTAAAACAAATTAATCACCCTGTCAAAATCCTTTGTGTCACGGCATTGAAATTCGAACAATACGTTATTTCAATGATTTTGGTTTTTTTTGAGACACCCTGTATACAGGGTGTCCCAAAAAACCCGAAAACTATTGAAATCACTTATTGTTAAATTTGAATGCCCTACCAAACAGCTGAACGTAATGATGCGTAAAATATTGACAAGGTGCATGTATTAGAATTTAGTTAGGAATATCTCCTGGTAAAGTGCGCGATTTTCTGCTCCTGGGAATTAGAAACAGCTTGAATTGAATTTTTAATTACCAGGCGCATGAAATCCTGTGCTTAACAACAATAGGATAATTTTTTTGGGACACCCTGTAGTACAATGTTTATAGAATTTGCATGATTCAGAACTAATTGATCCCAAGCGTGCCAGTGGCGTGCTGGGTACTATTTTTCTGGAGGGGCCAGTGGGCTGTCAGCCAGTATGCGCCCCTATAATGTTACACTTGATAAACGAGGGCCGAAGGCACGAGCCGAGTGCCGCAGGTGCGAGGTTTGTCTAGGGGGGTCCGGGGGCATGCCCCCCAGGAAAATTTTTGAATTTAGAGTCTCTGAAATGCCATTTCCTGGACTTTGGGGGAAGATTTGACAGAAATCTGATGGTCAGGAAACGGCATTATAACGTGTCGAAATTTGCAATTTGGTTAGAATTTAGTAGTAGTACTTAAATTATGCAATGCTAACTACTTCCAGCGATTAATCTAATCCCAATTCTGTTCTCTACTGATCTACTGTTCTGAGCACATTTACAACTTAAAGCTCTTTTATACAATAACACACGCACCCCACGCATATGCATTTTAAGGTTTCTTTGCCTGGCTGCCAAAAGGGCATGTTTCAGCATTATTTCATTACTTACATTACTCATGCTTCTTGTGCAAACAACTAAATTGCGTACACAACTTTACATCAGTTATCATAACTTCAACTATCTAATTTGCGCCGCCCTCGTGATTCGTGAAGCATAATAAAGGGCATAATATAAGGGCATAATACCAGCAAAAAAGGGCATAATTCCCGTGATCGCTTCGATCGAAACCTGACCAATATTCCGGTAATGAGACATTGCCTGTGATCACTGATCATGTTTCTATATGAACGATTTCGTGTGAGCTTTGAGGTAGCAAATACGGTTAGGCAAAATAGTCTGTAATTTAATATATGTCGCCAATGCGCTTAGTCTGTTTTATACTGTAGCCTATAAACACGTCTTTTCTTGGCGGAAGTAACCATATTTTTTCGAGAATGCGTTTTTTCCGACCCACTTTCAAAATTCGGCGCCCCTTTTTCATTTTTGCGCCCCCCCAAGAATTGCCAGCTGGGG